AACCCTGTTGTCTAAATCTGAATTGGAAATAGTTAATCATGCTTTTATTTCATCTCACTTATTGCAACAGCCTTTTTCTTTGTTTGAGAATGCTGCTGCAAAGCTCTTAACAAAGACACGAAAAAGAGAGCTGGTTTTATTCTCATTACACTGGTTTCCAGTACGTTTTAGAATTCGTTAAAAAAAAAAAATCTTAGTACTGACTTTCAAAGCTCTGAGTCGTGACGCTCCTGCCTACATCTCTGACATCATCATCTCAAAGGCTAATCAAAATCAGTCTTTTAGAGCGGCGGCCCCCAAGACGTGGAATGCTTTGCCTCCATCTTTACGTTGCCTTGATTATATTCATTCTTTTAAACAAAAGCTAAAGACTCATTTATTTAGACTGGCTTTAATTAGATTTGTGCTAAATGATCGATTGTGTTGTTTTTGCACATTGTTTTATATTATTGTGAAGCACTTTGTGGTTCTTATCCTGTGAAGAATGCTATATAAATTATTACTATTATTAATTATTATTATTATCATTATTATACGTGACACTCATTCTGTCAGGCCCTTAAACAAGCCCACCACAAAGAACCTGAAGCATCTCTAGCTGAGTCTAAGCAATTTAGATGTTGTTATAGCAGAGAGCAGAAAGCAGTATGGAAAATCATTGTACTAAATTTCCTGAAGACTGCAGCAGCTTCTGGTAGAGCATGCAGCTACTTTATTTAGGGCCTAATAAAATTATATTTGGCTCATTTCAAGTCATCACATCGAAATAAAAACTTCATGGGCCAAAGTTTGGGTATAGACAATGATTGTACCAAAGCAGTTGTTCCCTCACAGCAAGAAGGTTCCGAGTTTGAATCCACCACTGAATCTGTGTGGGTTCTTTCCAGGTACTCCAGCTCCTCCCACAGTCCTGAGATGTGCACCTTAAGGCCCTTCACATGCACTGTGCTCACCGCTAACTAGAGCGAAGGACCAAAATCATCATTTATTGGATGAAGGTGTACAATTTCTCAGTTTAAACATTTGTCAAGTTATTTGTTTTGTTGTGAATAAAAAAAAAAATGGCTCATGTGATTTCAAAGTGTTTCAAATTAAAAAGAAAGTCCCAACTTTTCTGGAATTTGTATTCATTTTTAGTAAACTCTGGCTCCCTCTTTTGTTTTCGGTTTCTCCCCTCACCCCCAGCCGTGGCAGATACCTCCCTGAGCCTAGTTCTGCCAGAATTTTCTTCCTGTTCAAACGGTGTTCTTCCTTCCCACTGTTGCCAAGTGCTTGCTTAAAACGTGTTCTTTAACTGTTGGGTCTTTTCTCTGTATTATTGTAGGGTCTTTACAATATAAAGTGCCGTGACGCAACTGCACAATATAAATTAAATTCCACTGAATTGAATTAAACTGAAAAAAGATAAATTTAATAAAATAGCCCATTCACCCCTCTTAAGAACCTGAAATTTTCTCTTACCATAGAAATGAATCAGGATCTATAATTTGTGAAAGATGCATCAAAAATCAAAAGTCTGAGTAAAAATTATTTAAAAAAAAACAAACAAACAAAACTAAAACCAAACTGTCCTGTACAAAGTTAATATGATTAAAAGTCCAAAAAACAATTAGTAAATATCTGAATGGTATATAGTTGTGGTAAATGGACGGATTCTTATATAGTGATTTTCTATTCTCCCGGAGCGCTTTATACTACATGCCACATTCACACAAGCACTCCCTTCTATGCTTTTAATTGTTTACTAACTAAAATTCAAACAACATTGTTCAAACCCTGGGGAGCCAGGGATCAAACCACTAACCTTCCGATCAGTAGATGACCTGCTCTACCTCCCGAGCTACAGTCACCCCAGTTGTGTTACACAATGATGCAACAATAGACACTTAGAATTTCACATCAAAGTTTTCTAAGTCACAAAAATGAACAAAATGCTATTTTAACTCTTATAACTTGGAAAACATGTGTATACTTTTCATATTCAAGGCCCATGTTTTGGACGTGCACATTGCCCTGCAGCAGTCTTACAACTGTACTGATATTAAAAACGTAACAATCTAGCATATTCATAAAATTATTCAAATTCTTGCACTATTACTACTAATCCCTTTTTCATTGCTCTTAATTGTTTGACATTTCTTTTTACGACAATAAATTATTCCCGTACCTTTAAATGTTTTGATCTTTTAAACTGTAACTTCAGATTCAGACACACTCCTACAGGGCAGTAGGTCTAAACAAAATTATTTTTTCTCTGTTGTAATTTCTCAGTCATTTAATTTCCACACTTTTCCATGTGTGGAAAAAAGGTCTGAACGTGGATGGTTGGGTTGAAAATGATTTATTTTTTTTAATGTGATGATTTAAATACAATGAGGGAAGCTTCACTCTGGCCTTCTTTAGTTCTAGCAGTATAAATGTGACCCTAGCCCACAGTAATCAAGACTTCACTCACTTTCTTGGCCCGGCTCGTGTCCAAACAGCTGGGAGACGTGAGGAGGCTGCTGGAGCGGTGGCTGCAGCATAGCTGTCTGCTGCTGCTGCACGGCCTGCTGGTTCTGATGCTGGTTCTGCAAATGCTGCTTTTGTTGCATCTGATGGTGCTGTTGCATGAAGTGCTGCTGCTGCTGTTGTAGATGCTGTTGGTGCATCTGCTGTTGATTCTGCTGTAACATCTGCATTCTTTGCTGCTGCTGCAACTGCTGCAGCTGTTGTTGCAGCAGCTGTTGCTGCTGCAACTGCTGTAGTCCAGGCCGTAAGGGCTGCTGAGGTCGCAGCTGCTGCTGGGAGAACACATGCTGCTGCTGTTGCTGGGAAAACATCTGCTGTTGGTGCATTTGTTGCTGCTGCTGCTGTTGTAGGAACTGCTGCTGCTGTAGAGGCAACTGTGGGAACCCTTGTTGCTGAGCAGCCTGTGGCTGTTGTTGTTGGTGGTGTTGTAGCTGCATCATCTGTTGTTGCTGCTGCTGAAGGTGCATCATGGGGTGCTGTGGTTGCTGTGATAACTGCTGATGTTGCTGAGCGGCCTGGTTTGACTGCTGCTGTTGTAGTAATTGCTGCTGCTCGGCTGTCAGGGGCTGACTGGTCAGTTTGGCCTGATTGAAGAGAAGAACATTGGTGCTGTTCAGGGTCTGAGCATGACTCTGATTCGTCTGCTGCTCCAGTGGCTTTGTTTGATTAGCAGGCTGGATAATCTACAAAAGAGATGATCAAATGAAATGAGAAAATGAGAATTTGCTGGGGGAACAGCAAATTGAGGATGTTTTCAAAAGGAAAAGCCATGAGGAGCACATCTGGAAACATGCCCGCTGTAAGAAACAACCCAAGGAGCATGAGCCCCTAGTGTCAGGTTGTCTAGAGTCAGACTTTCCACACAACTTTGTGTTCTCCAGAAGCCTGTCATTCACTGACAGTCTCTTGGACAAACTGGCGACTGTGTTTGTCGGACGCAGATCAAAACATTTATTTCAATTTTATTTAAACAACGCCAAATCACAACAGCAGTCACCTCCAGAAAAATGAGGTGAAGTACCTTCATCTTGGCTGACCTGCTTGCTGCTTATCTGAGACAGCTCAGAGCTCCTATTGTTCCTGTGTCTTTATGGTTTGTTTAGTCCCAAAACTTATTTCCAAAAATCTTGTTTATTTTTATTCTCCGATTTAAAGACAGTTGTATGACATTAAGTCTCTTCTTTTTACTTTGTCTTGATGATAACATAACCAGTGTTGGGCAAGTTACTTTGAAAAAGTAATTA